CGGTGGATACGAGTATGGATTCGATTATTTAAAACCCTGAACAGGACGGTTTCATGTTTTTAAAATTTTTAAAGGATTTGGATCAAAGGTGATTCGCTCCAAATCTGCTCCATTGATAGGTCTACTTCCTGACGTTGATGTCCAAATCTGAAGCATATCAGAAATACTTGGTGAAGAAGTATTTTGAAGATTTGATCTAATATGTTCCTTATTTACCATATCTAAACATTTATCTTAAAAGATTCAATCCCATCAAATCAGTGATTTGATTTTATCAGAAGATTTGGAAAATCTACATAAAGTTTTATCTCCTATCTTTGTGATAATTGGTTAGGTTAGACTAGTATTTATAGTAGTTGATCTCATTAGTTGAGAGTTAATAATTTGTATTGTATTCTGTGTGAGAGAGGCTATGTAGAGAAATCTGAGAGTTTGTGGTGAGTTTTTTGAGAGAATTCAAAATATATGTTATTTATGGATCATTGTGCTTAAACATAAAAACCCGACAAATAAAATTGGTTTTTATTTATTGAATAATTGTGTTATTATTCTGTGTTTCTATTAGATTCATACACAAGTGCTAGGTTTTGAGACTTTGATAGGACAATATAAAGAACCGAAAATGGGTCCGCTAGATGAAAATCGATCCCTATTCGACATAAATTCTGATTCGATCCGCCAACCGGACCGACCAATTGCTCACCCTTACAAATAACAATCACAAAAACGAAAGTTAACTACAACAACCAACCGACCGAAAAAGACAAATAAAATTCTTAAAATTACAAAAAATATATATATTTTTATATTAATAAATTAACAAAAACCCAGATAAGTGACAATGACATTAGTCCTTTCTAGGTACGTTTAGGTTTGAAAATCCATCATCTTTTCGAATAGTCCAGGCAACACTCGAAGAAAACACAAAGTCAATAAATTAAGATATAAAAGTGGTAAAGAGAATTATCGAATTTTATATATTTTATGTTGGGTACACAAAAAAAGAAAATATCAATTACAACATATACTATGGACGGTTTTAGATGAATCTAGACGATAGCATCTCACTTAGATTGGAAGGAGTGGGAGGAAAGCTTCCCTCACTTTTGGTGGATCATACCTCTTTTTCCCTCACCTAAAAGCCAAGGAATAGGTGAAAAGCCTTTCCCTTACTTTTTTTTTTTAATTAAATAAAATTATTTAACGGTTTCCTTACTTTTGTTATGAATTATAATTTTTAAATGGTTTTCCGATTTCCTCAAGGTAAAACTGCAACGCTTCTTGAAGTATTTCTTCGTCGCCTTGGCCGCTTTTTCGTTGGGTTTTTAGGTTGTTGTACAACCAGTTAATTTTTGAAACCCCCTTTGCTATTTCTCGAAACATCGAATTAAGTTGATGTTTCGTACGGTAATCGTCACATTTTCCTAGCTCCTCTCGAAATCGTTCTAAAATGCGAAACCAAAAATGTTCTCCTGGTTGTGCGTTTCCCTGAATCGAATCTTCAGAAATATAAACCCAAGCTTTGACCAAAACTAACTCTTTGTGTGGAACCCATGCTGTCGGCTTTTGTCTTCCCGGTTGTGCGACACCCTCGCGCACTTGTTTTTTCCCTTTACGTCTTTGTGGTGGTGGTGTTGGTTGAGTTTCGGGAACCATGTATTCTTCTTCCACGTCATCCGATTCATCGACAAGTTGGTGGTGGTGTTGGGTTTGGGTTTGGGTTTGAGTTTCAGATTGAGTTTGGGGTTGAGGTTGATTTGGCGATCGTTGATCCGGAAACACAACAAAGTTTGAAAACATTTGTGAGAGAACATTTGGAACTTGCATCGGGTAATATTAGCCAACATTTTGGTATTGTAATTGTAGTGAAGATTGTATGGGAGCATCGAGTGGGGGGGCGATAAACTCCTTGCGGGGATGAATCGATAGCAAAAATGTTGCGATGAGGGATGTTTATACTCGAACCATGGCTTTTTTTTTTCCGTCGATCGGAACTTGGGGTTTGTTTGTCGGGATTCATTCTTTTTTTGTTGATATAAAGTAGAGAGAATAGAGAATAATGTGATGTTTTTAGTTATATGTATATATTTATAGTAGTTGTAAAAGGATATATATATATATATATATATATATATATATATATATATATATATATATATATATATATATATATATATATATATGTATGTATGTATAAAAATAAAAACAAAAGTAGCCGTTACAGCAAAAATAAATAATAATAATAAAATACATTTTTTACCGTTATGCAACGGTAGTTTCTCAAAAAAAAAAAAAAAATGAAAAAGCCGGTCAATCGCAGCAAGAGAGAGAGAGCGGGAGAGGCTTCCCTCTCCGTTTCCCGCACAACTCATTCCCGCACCGATGGTGTGGTGTTCCGTCGGGCAGGAAGCTCCCCGCTTCCTTTCCCCGCACCCGTTCCATCCGGCCTTACAAAAAATTAGACAATTAGTAGGGACAATAAATAAATCAGCACATTTATGTTGCATTTATTTAGGATTTTAGATTAAAAAACTGTTTAATTTATCTGTTTTAGTCATGAAGGTTATACAATGGACGGTTGCTTTTGAAGTTTCAGTTTTATGAAATCTTAACATACAAAAGCCGTAAATCGATCTCTCAACCATCTCCCCAATGGCATGGGTTTTGAAGATGACCGTATTTATAGAAAGGTTTCATGTGTTTAGATTTAGGGTTTTATTTTTGTATTTGTTTTGCAATATTTGCCTTTGATCCTTTCTTACACCTCCGAGTTCAACTTAACATGAGAAAAGAAAGAAAATTGGTGGAAATGAGAAGAAAATACAAAAAATTGGTGTTTTCGTATTTCATTAAAGGAAGGAAGCGGAAGAAAATGAAAATATCACTTTCCGTCTTAACTTTTTCTTCCGATTTGGGAGAATTTGGAAACAAATAGCAAAATGATTAACACAAAAGAAATTTTTGTTTTCTTTTCATTTATCTTCTTTTCTCTCATGACTTTTTTTTGTCTTCTCTATTTTTTTTTTATTTTTTTTTATTTTTTTATTTTTTTTTTGTTAAATTCGGGAATTAGGCCTTAGTGTTTGATTGTAATTATTATTATTATTATTATTATTATTATGGTTTAAGACGAAGAGGCACGTGAAGGTTGAAGACAAAGAAACATAAGGTTGAAGAAAATTTGGTATCAGAAGTGGCTTTAAAGTTTTATTTTGGTGTTCGGAACCCATTTGATTTTTATTTTGATTGATATGAACTGGATTTTTTTGTTTGGAGTTATTTTGATTTTTAGCCTAATACTATTTTAGGGAAACATATACATCTTTTTCTTATATCATATACATCTTTTTCTTATATCAAGGAGTAACTGAACCATGAAATGAGAAAAATGACTTGCTATGCTTATGCAACACTAGGTATAACAAGTTACTAGAAGTCTTAAACCTGGCACCGATATTTTTAGTAGGTACGAAATAACACAACAATTTATATATAACATCAACACAACATAATAATGTATTTTGCTTTACTAACATGAAAACAACGCAGTTAAAACATAATAAAAAAAACAATCAACACAGCAAAAAGAGAAAATATAATAAAATAAATATTTAGTTTATTCAAAATAATACATAATAAACACGACAACCGAATGTTAATATTATGTTAATTTCACTTGACACAAAAAAGAATTAGAATTTCAGTTTTATCCAAATTTCATTCAATATTATATTATGTGTTTTTGTCGTATTGTTTTATGAATTGCCACTTACAAGTTACTAGCTTTTAATATATCAAAAGTTACCAACCATAAAAAGGTCTCCAACTTTCATTTTTATAAAATTGACACGTTTTAAAGTTTGTTATGAATTAAATTATTTTACAAATTTGAGCAAACTTAGTTTTTTTTTTCACAAATTTACTTTTTCTTTTTTCATATTTATTTGTCTAAGAACAAAAATTATAAAAATCAGCTAAATTCGGGGTTTAAAAATATAATTATTCAAAGTTCAAATAATACACATTTATATATAAAATAAAAACTAGATATGAACTCGTAATTGATGATTAAAAAGTTATATATAAAGATAGAAATATTAAGCTTTTTTTAAAAAATGTTAAATATCAAGATGTAAACATTAAGTTTTTCTTAAAGTAAATTTCATAATAAATACAAACAAAATGATGGATAAATAAATAATTCAATTTATACTAATAAAATAAACTAACGGAGAAATAATTATATTTTGACCATATTTGTGTTTTAACCATTTTTTTTAGTTTTATCAATGAAAAACAACAAAGTTTGATTATTTTTCCTATGTAGATCATTTTGGCTTAAAATAACAAGTGAAAATTAATTTCTAAAAATTAATAGCAAAATTACATGTATCAAAATACATGAGAATGTGACAAGTGGTATAAATGATTTTTATTTATTAAAGTAGAAAATGTTAAAATTTAAGAAAAATGAAAATCATCAAATGGTCCATGTGGATGATAAGTGAACATTTAGTCAACGATCTTTGTCGAGCCCGAAACAAATTAATCAATGTGGAAATGACCAAATCCCAAGTGCAACCGTAACTTTAAGTTTAAAGGCAAACGCCTTCATATTAGAAATTTCACAAGTTAATGGTAACTCAGACATAGTTGTCTAAATATGACATAAATCCTTTGTATTTATTAGTTAATTTAAAAAAATAACTAAGATAAGTTAAATATCACCCAAACGTACTCAAAGTCTCACACATCTATAATCTTCTAATACATCATCATACTAATTATAATCATCATATTTAAATATTACTTGTTATAGAAATTACAATAGTAAACGCGTCCATCCAAGCTACAACTCACACACTTGCCTCTAATATAAATATTACACAAAGACTTCACTTCCATTCTTCACATATCCCCTCAAAAACTTGCTTCTTCTTCTTCTTCTTCTATTCTCTCTCTCTCTCTCTCTCTCTCTCTCTCTCTCTCTCTCTCTCTCTCTCTCTCTCTCACACACACACACACACACACACAAACACACAGACACAGAGAGAAAATGGCACCTGGGAATTCTCCATGTGCTTCATGCAAACTACTGCGAAGAAGATGTGCGAAAGACTGCATTTTTGCACCCTATTTTTCATCGGATGAACCCCACAAATTTGCAATCGTTCACAAGATCTTCGGTGCTAGCAATGTTAGCAAGATGTTGCAGGTACCCCAACCCCCCCACAACATCTGTATCTCAAGGATGTTACATCTGCCTGTCTGTGCTCATGGCACAGGCAGACAGACAGATGTAACATCCTTAAAATGCACGGTGTATACATATACACTTCATATAAATCATATTTAAACAAAACTAAGCTGATCAAATTGTCACAAATTAAATTTAGGAGCTTCCTGTTTGTCAAAGAGCGGATGCAGTAAGCAGCCTGGTGTATGAAGCGAATGCAAGAATGAGAGATCCTGTTTACGGATGTGTAGGGGCAATTTCGTATTTACAGAGTCAGGTTTCACAGTTGCAAATGCAGCTGGCAATGGCTCAGGCAGATATGCTATGCATTCAAATGCAACAAGAGTCTCCAGTACTATCCGCCAATGGTGTCTTGCCAGGTCATCCTGGATACAGCAATAATATGTTAACAGAGGATGGCGTCTCTTCAGATGACATGTCATACTCGCGTATGCATAATAGTAATACCATCATCAACCATCATCATCATCATCATCATCAACATCAGGAACAATACTTGAACTTTACTTGTAACAATGTAATTCAGTACGACACACTGAAGAGAGAGTCTTCTTCTCTTTGGGCATGATGATAAACGTTATTTAAAGTGGTTTAATTATAATACAAGTATCTTTTAGATCTTTAACTTTGACTTTTCTTTAAAGTGTTTACAGTTAACAAACAGTTCCTTCTTTGTGTGTTTTGCATGGGTGTGTAAACGTGTGAAAGAGAGTAGTAGTAGTACTCACTTGGGTTTTGTTTTTATTCGAAGTTACAAGTAGAGCAAGACAAAAAAGAAAAAAAAAAAAAAAACAATAGCAAGTAAAGAGCAGGTAAATGTTTTTGAAAACATGGGGAGGTTTAATGGAGTCAACTCTAGCATGTGGCACAATTAAAAACTATACAAATAAATAAATAAGAAATATCAACGCCTCGATTTTCGTTAAACGCGTAATTATTTGAAATTGTTATTTTTTCGTAAAAAATACATATATTTGAGCCTTGATCTCTTAATTCTTATTTCAAATAATCAAGATCTGCTGATTAGAACCAAATAGCTAGCTAGCTAAGTATGTTCTTCTCAATCCATAAGGAATATATTAAAAAGGACTTAACAAAAGCATCTTTGGAATTAAATTACTTAGTTTCTTTGTGGAATGCCAATCATAGAAACTTCAAAACAACAGTAAACTGAAGGCTAAACTTTGTTTATTAATTATTATGATCATGGGTCAAGTGTAGATAGAAAACTGCAAGACATTTCGTGCATTAAAGACTTGTACTGTATGGATGCATAAAAGTACAAGTTTGAGGTATGTTTAGAACGTGATCAAGAGAGGTTGTTCACGTGGAGTGGGTGGTGGGTGGAGTAATGAGTTAACGACAAATGTAAACAAAACAACGTCTATGACTTCACTTGTGGTCTAGATTTTTTAATATAAAATGAAGAAAAAACCTATCCAATTATTCAAACAAATCCAAGTGTTTGGATAAATTAGAAAAAGGATAAAAAGCAGTGAATACAAGTGCAAGTGAACTTACTAAAAGATTCCTCATTTCTATAGTTTAATTAACGACCAAATCATTTTAAAAAAAAAAAACGAAAAATCAAAACAGTATAAACAAGAAAAGGAAGGGAAATGAGAGGTTTTTGGTCAAGAATGCATCATGAAACATGTGGGACACAAGTTCACAGCGACCAAGGCATATCAAATGCTTGGAATTACTAGTCAAACCTTACTAATAAAAACAGAAATAGTCAAACTTAGTGGGTGGGATTGAAAAGGTTAATAGGAGAATCATCATTGGAGATAAAAATATGAAAAATATACATATAATATTGCATTTGAAACCACTATTTAAATGCTTCCAAAAGGTGACAAAATCATCACAAGCCAAATATTGCCACGGGTGAAAACGAAAGGCAAGTCGTTACGTGGTGACAAAATCCTCACATGCCATATATTGCCATGAATGAAAGGCATGTAACGGTGATAGATTACTATTGAGGACAACGAAGAAGAAATTTCAACAGTATAGAAATTAAAACTTTGGAAAATGACATGATTCACCTTCATTAATCAAATATTTGTTTATGCAATTCGTTTTCAAGGATTAAAAAAAAAGAAGAAGAAGAGTAAATAATAGTAAATCTTTGTAGGTATTTGAGTGTGGTGGGCTCGAGGGGTAATGCTTCCAAATGTTGGGTTTGGTTTAAACTTTAAACTTTTAAAAAGACATTTTTACCCTGTTTTGGGTTTGGTTTCTTCTGCAAACAGAAAACACAACCAAAAAGTTTTTTTTGGTTCTCATTTAATGTCGCAAAAAAGGTGTGCCCAACTCCAATATTCTACTTTCATTGTTTTGTTTATGATACCATTTTATCTTCATTTATTCATATCAGAGCATTATACTTTGAAAAATCTACCAAATAATAGATTTTTCAAAGTATACAACCTTAATACAAAAACAGTTGAAAGTAGAATGATATATAATACACAAATCAATGAAACTACATTGCTATTTCCTGTTACAACAACTACATAACTTATACAAGTTATAGAAAAAACTTTTTTTTTTTTTATTAAAACGACATAAAAAAGCAGCATATTCAACAAACCTTCAACATGAAACCGAAGAAAGGGAGAATCCACAAGCTTGGATGATGAATTTAAGACTTGAAATGCCAGCTGGCATGAAAAGGTCAGCTATATAAAAAGCTTCCATTGTTGCCACTCCAAGAAAGTTTGATGATTTTACTGATTTGCCCTCTTCATTTTCAACATAAACCTAACATAGGTAAAGATCCAAGTAACATTACTCAAAGCTATAATCTGTATACAAGGATGCACACAAACATAATCCAGCTTAAACCAAGATAAATCTTCAATTTCCGATTTTTTTCTTCAAGCTTCTGGATGGAGTCTTTACAACCACACATCTGGTCATCAACCCAACCTAAGAACTTGCAATTTGGTCCCTGAAAATTTCACATATTTTAGGGTTTTTTTACAAATTTCACACAAGGATGCAATCCATGATACCTTATTTATACAACTATAGAAACACCGCCTTCCTGTGTTGTCCTTGCTCCATGAAGTTCGGATCACTGCTTCTGCTCCACAATTGCATATTCTTGCATTTTTTTCTCCTTCTTAGAAGGAAAACCAGAGAATAGAGATGAAGGAGAATGGAGGAACCAAAGAGAAGTGTGGGTAAGGGTGCCTTTGTCTAAGAGGGTTTTCTAAATAAATGACAAAAATGCCCCTGCATGTGGGGCATTTAAAGCCAGGGATGAAGCATGCAATTTTTAAAATAACAATGGAAGGTCCGAGTGAAATACAAAACATAGGGATGCAATGCGGAGATTGGGGTAAACCACAGGGACGATTCGTGTGCATTTAATTAACCACTATTTAAATACTTCAAAAGGTGACAAAATCATCACAACACCAAATATTGCCATGAATAAAAGAAAGACAAGTAATGATGATATATTACTATTGAGGACAAAATTGAAGAAAAGTCTAACAGAATAGAAAATATAAATTTGGAAACAGACATGATTCACCTTCATTAATCATTTTTTTTTTAAAATTTGCTTTCAAGGATACAAAAAAAAAAAAAAAAAAAAAAAAAAGTAAATCTTTGTAGGCATTTGAGTGTGGTGGACTCGAGGGGTAATGCTTCCAAATGTTGGGTTTGGTTTTAACTTTAAACTTTTTAAAAAGACATTATTACCCTGTTTTGGGTTTGGTTTCTCATATTTTCAGTTATTTCTATAGGAGATATATTCAAGGGTTAAAGAACTAGCAATCTACTTTCATTGTTTTGTTTATCATACCATTTTGTCTTTATTTAATTCTATTAGAGCATTGTAGTTAGAAAAATCTACCCAATAATAGATTTTTCAAACTATAATACCTTAATAAGAAAAAAATTAAAAGTAGAATGGTATATTAGAACAGATAAAAGTATGATACTATATAATACTAATACACAAATCTATGAAAGTACATTGTTATTTCCTGTTACAACAACTACATAACTTATACCAGTTATAGACTTAACTTCTTTTATTAAAAACATGAGCATAAAAAAAAAAGCTATGTATTCTACGAACCTTCAACTTTCAACCTAAGAAAGGGAGAATCCACAAGCTCCTGAGAAGCCCCACCAGACCCACAAGCTTGGATGATAAACTTAAGACTTGAAATGCCAGCTGGCACCAAAAGGTCAGATATATAAAAAGCTTCCACTGATGCCACTCCAAGAAAGTTTGATGATTTTACCAATTTACCCTCTTCATTTTCCACATAAACATTGTACTTGGAAAACCCAGGAGACACACCGCTGTTCAATGTCCATAGAATCTTGAGAGAAACCGAACCAGATCTCCAGTTGACATTTTGACTTTTGACATTCCATTCCGATGCTGGTGGGAAACTCATGTTTTGTGGTGAAGATTTGATGGAAATATGACCAAGAATGGAATAGAATTCCGATGACGAAGTTAATTTAGATGAGGTTTTATAGCATACAGCATGGATACCGGTTAATGTGGACCCCACCATTGTGACACTGCTATCTTGTATCACCCATCCAGATGATGTTTTCTTCACATGACGTGGCATTATCACACTGTCGAATTTGCTTGAAAACTGGTTCATGGTGAGTAATGTATCTCCAGATGATGCAAGAAGAATCGATGTTTTGTTTTCCATGTTAATGGTGTTTGTAAACTCAAGAGAAAGACCAATCATAGAGCTCCCATCTGATTTTACAGAGTATGTAAAGTGGACTGGTGAATCACCCATGTGAAGCTCTCCTTGAAAGATTCTTTTTTTCAAATAAGCACCATCTTCAAGGACTCCTTTGAATGTAATATTCCCTCCTCCACTATAAGATGATTCCTTCAAACTAAAAATGAAAAACTATAAATCATTAAATTGTACATTACCAAATTAAAAAGTTTAGAATATTTATATACTTGTTAACTTACTCAACGTATGCTTGAATTGTTTCAGTCGTGGTATCTCCAGAAAACTCAAGAACAGGCTATCAAAACACACAAATGACATTTAAAAAAAAAAAAAAGATATGATGATGAGGCGAAAAGTAATCACAAAAATATGTTACCTGAAAGCTTTGATTAGAAAGATTGTTCCATGGAGCATCTGAAACTGATTTTCCATCAACAGAGAAATGGTAACTATTACCCTGTTATGTTATTAACTTATTATCAGTAAACAAATATTAGTATGTGGTTATCATGAGTAAAGGATTGAAACTATGCTTATTATGTACCCGATCAAAGTTTGAGTAGAATGGAAGAACTTCAGGATAACTTCGTGTTATTCCCCATGATTTTTCAACAAGGCTCCACCACCTAAAATACATTATATATAAGTAACCACAAATTAAATAAGAGCTAAAAGTTAAAAAAAAAAAAAAAAAAAAAAAATAAGAATAATAGAGAAATGTAATACCGATTTTGAGCAGTTTGAAAATCCGGGGGTTGTTTAGTCTCGTAAACCCATCCAGGAGCAAATATGGCTGCTGACACATCATCTTTCTTTATTACATCAAGTGCCACATTTGCCTATTATGCAAAACATAGTGGCAATTACAAAAATGAAATTTAAAAAAATTAAAAAAATGGATCTTGAAAATTAAATAAGCTACATACTGTCCATTGTCCACCACCATAAGTGCCTCTACCAAAAACATCGATTCCCATGTACACATCAAACTTTCTATCACCAGCAACAGCAGCTGACAACTTTGGATAATCTTCCTACATTGTACATATCATAACATCCTTAAAAACAAAAAGGTAGAACATTTAAACAAAATAATTAATAAAAAAGGAAGATAATGATAGAAATACCGTCCAGGAATAGTTTGTAAATATGCCATCACATATATCAAAAAATGGCTTGTTGTAGTTATTCAACTGATTTTGCCAATTAAGTTGCCCCTCAGTTGTAACACTATCATACCTACATACATATAGCCATATAGCCATATAGCACATGTTTCAGCTTAAAGACAACAGAGTATACAAATTGAAAAAACAATTATAATACTGGAAACACCTACCAGATTACTAAAGATCCAGGCACTGAAGAATGCATAACCTGGGTTAAATGGCTGACAAATTCTTTCATAATGGGGATCTTTTCAATATCCAAACTGACCTCCATATTTATCTGTGAAAACAGGATCAACAAATCATCATATGATTATGAAAAGTTATCTGATATATGATTATGAATATGATGTTACTTACCAGCCACCCATCGAAGCCCAATGCAACAGCAAGCTCAGATAATCGCTCAGCATACATGTCAGCAACTGTAGTTGATGCCAGAAACTGATCTGCTATCAATTTTCCTTCATCCCACTCTACTATAAAAGTTCCCAGGACCTGTAGTTCTGTAAACAATTAGAAACTGTTCCGGATTTTAGGACTCCAATCTTACATATAGTGAGGATAAGATCACCATTAAGATCGCAAAAGAAAGCTACAGCCAAAGAAGTAATGTGCATCTTAGAGGCAGAAATAAAAAGTGTTGATTATTCAGAAATTCCAGATGGTTTTGTTTAATGATTTTCCTCCTTGATTTCTATATTAATTTTACTTCAGATCCTGTTTGAATGATTGATGAATTTTGAAATTTTGAAATGATCTCACGTCTCCATGATCAGAGACCAGAAAACTGTTTCAAACGATTAAGTTATTCAGATTACGTAAGAAGTCAACGTATGAGAAATACCTTGACTCCATGTTTATGAGCAGCATTAACCCAACCAGGAGGCGGCAAAGTAACCAAACTATGTGAAAAATAGATGAACACATCCATCAAATACCAATGCCATATTGAATAGGCATCAGCATTACTCCCTCCTTGAACCCACTTATCATCGGTGTACCCTCCTGCCATATCATGGCACACCATAATCCTCCGGCGATTCGGCAACGAAACACCATCAACACCACTGCGACGTAGAGGGACCGAAGCCTTATTGAACTGGAAATGGAAAGAATCGAAGTATGTACGAAGTTTCAAGTCTTCTAAGGTTTTGATTGGGTAGGAGACGGGGACGGACGGCACACGCGGGTCGAATTCGGGTTCTGGGGAGTCGTCGGGGTTCATTTTGGGGGAAAATACAGTGAAGATAGGGTCGATGATTGAATTGTAGAAATTGCGAACGGAAATCAGGGTTCTGCGGCTTATATAGGTTCGAAAGAGGTTTAGCATAAAAGGATGCTTCAGCAGTCTGTGTTGAGTTCTGGGGGAGACGAAGACGATGCCGAAAAATTTGGGTCAACTATAAAATGCATGTTCATGTTCATGTTCATGTTCATGTTCTTGTCAAAAGAATTAACTTTAAATGAGCGTTGGGTAGGCAGTAACGAAGGTGGGAATGGAATACTTCTTTTACTCGTTGTCAAGGAACAAATAAAAAAGATTGGTTACTCTTTAAAGAAAGTAATAAATCATACATGATACCATTTCTTAAAGCCTTAAAAGATATTGATTTTGATTCGGCTTCATCTCTAGTAGCAAAAAATGACACGCTACATTTATTCGTTACGAACATGACGTGATAAATGAGTTTGACGAAGAGACTTCAATTTATTCAAGGGAAGTGATTTTTGCAAGGAATTATTTAATACTTCCAAAAAATAATTAATGTATGGACTATTTTACCCCAATTCATTTAATTCATTTAGCTAATATATATGGATAATTAATATAAGAGCGATAATATGGGATCTTATCTATTTTTAGGTGAATAAACCTAAATACCAATTTTTATTTTAAAAAAACTCAGACGTCGCCTTGGAAATCAACAGACATACGACGATCTTCTCCGGCCTTCGTTCATCTTTAATCGGTAAGCTTCAATATCATTACAATTATTCACAAATAAGTTTACAAATAACAAAATAAGATGCGAATAAATAATAGATGTATCTTTGATTTAGTTAGAAAAACTATTCCGTCTTCAAATCACAAAAGAAAAAAGAATAATAAATGTTACGGTGACCACATGTGCTTTTAGTTTGAATAGTTACATGTTTTTCATGTGATGTTAGTTTGGAATCATGTAAGAAGCAAACATATATTAAATTTTGAATATGATTGTTTTTCTTGAATAAAAGCCTTTTTAATTTAGTGTCGAAGCAATATCAAATACATGTAAAAAGATAGATGCACAAAAATTTTCTACTAATAACATTAAGTTCTTATGTCTTCTTCTTCTTCTTTTTTAAATGTTAGATGAAAAAAACTAAGCAATATTTTGACTTTTTTTTACCTGAAAAAAGCATTAAACAACTGTTTTATGTAGTTGTATTTTAGACTTTTTGATTATGTTAACACCATATGAAAACTTGAATTGTTTATGATTATGTTAAACTCGAATTGATTATGATTTAAAACTGAAACATAAATTGATTATGATTCAAAATGTGTTAAAAATGATTTTCATTCTGTTAACATATTTATTCAAAATGTTAACTTTAATGTGAAAAATTGATTCAATAGAGGGAATGGATTCATCAAGTTCTACGGTACAAAATGAAGAACTTTATTTAGCTAACTCCAAATTTGAGTCGTATGATGAATTACTAAAGAGTTTAAGAGATTTTTATTATGCTAAAGGATATGAAGTATCTATAAAAGACTCAAGTTAAGATAAATATGTCACGTTGCAATGTGATAGAGCCGGTTCCTATCGAGATAGAATGTGTATTAGAGATAAAAGGAAGAAAAATATTGGATCTCGTTTGATCAACTGCCCATTCCAGATTGAAGGTAAAAAAGGAAATGATGGTTTTTGGGTACTTAAGACAAAAAACTTGACTCACAACCATGAACCGTCTACTGATATCTCTGGGCATCCATCATTCCGTCGATTATCACCAAATGACGTACAAAGTGTCAAAAACATGACGCTTTCTGGCATACCCCAAGACAAATTCTTTCTTCTTTGCGTCAACAAAATCCAAACCTTCCAGCAGTCTCACGAACTATATACAATCTGAAGGCTAAAATCCGCAAGAAAAACTTGGAAAATCGATCAAAGGTTAGTGCTTTATTTGAAGAGTTTGAGAAATAGGGTTTTATATATATGATATTTTACATAACTCAGTAGGGCATATAACTCATTTGTTCATCGCATATCCTTTGTCAATTAAATTGTCAAAAGTTTTCTCTAATATCTTTGTATTGGGTTGCACATACAAAACAAATATAACATGCCTCTACTCGATATCATTGAGGTTTCATGCTTTAGTACATCTTTTTATTATGCGTTTGTATTTTTGGAGAGAGAGGATGAAGATAGTTATATTTGGGCATTAAGTGTGTTTAAGAAGACTCTTGAAAATCGTGAACCATCTGTGATTATGTCTGACAGAGAGTTAGCATTAATTAATGCCATAAATATGGTATTTTCGAACACGACAAACATTTTGTGTATTTGGCATATTGAAAAGAATGTGTTGGCATATTGCAAAAAGCATTTCGCACATGGAGAAGAGTTTAATCTATTTATGTCAAATTGGAATAATGTAGCATATTCAACAACTACAACTATTTTTGAGCAAAATTGGGCCGAATTTGAGTTGTTTTATCAGATAAAGAAAGTTACAATTGAGTACATAAAAATACATGTTTGCCTTGGAAGGAAAAGTTTGTTAGTGCCTGGACAGAAAAATATTTGCATTTTGGTAATCGATCATCATCAAGGGCTGAAGGTGCTCATGCCAAACTGAAACAATATCTACAAGTATCAACAGGTGGCTTTCAAGATGTTACAGAAAAGATTTGTCTCGCACTCAAACATAAATTCAACGAGATTAAAGTGCATCTAGCAAGTGAGAAAATCCAAGTTCTTCGTAAGTGTGATGCACCTGCTTTTAGAGAGATTTTGTGTAATGTATCTCATTTTGATTTAAAGGATATATAAGCAACATGAAAAAATAAAATATGGTAATATTTACAACGCTTATAGTTTTACATTTGTTGTACAACATTAATTTTTAAATCAACCTTTAATATATTTTTGGTTTCTAGGTACAATGACTCCTTGCACCGGTCATTTTATGGTAACAATGGGTCTTCCTTGTGCTCACAAGATAAAACACTTACAAGGAATGACAATTCCATTGGATCTCATTCATCCATATTGGAAGATTGATGCATTAAGACTGAATTTAGAAGATGATTCACATAATGATGACACTAAAGAATTTAACGAGTTGACCAGTTAGTTGTCCTCAAGATACGAAATGTGACCTCTAAGTAAGAAAGAATTTGCTACTTCTATGATTACTAAACTTTTGATTGAATCTAATACGTTTTTTGAGCCTACGATTCTCCAACCAAAGGGTAGACCTCCAAAATCAAAAAAGAAAAGAGGATTGACTTCTACAACACGAGAACCTTCAAGATTTGAGCATGTGGAATCATCACAAACACAACAAACTTCAAATTCTACTCGTGTCTTCCAGATGAACAATGAAGTGTATGATAATGTTGGTTGTATAAGTTATGAAAACAATTTACTTGATCTAAATTCATACCCGACTTTTTCAAGTGATGATATGCCATATGAATAGTTTGACTATTTGATATGTATTAGTTTGAATATTCTTGTTATGTTACATTTTATTGTGATTTGATATGTATTTGTTCGAATCTTTTTGTTCGACAACATTTTACTGTGATTTGATATGCATTAGTTTGAATATTTTTGTTGAGCTATATCTTATTATGATTTTATATGTATTGGTTTGAATATTTTTTTTGAGCAATATTTTATTATTGTAATTCGATATGTATTGGTTTGAAGTTGTATTTTTTGTTAAATAATTTACTATACATTAGTTTATCTATTTAATATGTTTATAACATCTATTAAAAATATAAATTCCATAAATCTGATTCGATGGGTTAATCAAAATTTTAAAAGTGTAAAAATTAAAAATACCTAAACAACCTGTAGTACCCAAATGTCTCTTATACAATTAAAAAAATATTAATATTTAATTGAGGTACTGAGATCGTAGAATCAATTTTGAACCACATATAGGTGTACAATTTAAACTACAATCAAACAGGTTTTAAAATCATTACAATCAATCTTTCCCTATCAAAAGTTAGTGCCATCTAGTGTGATGGTGGTGTAAGTAATGAATAAAAACAAAATAAAATGTACAAGTATTATATTTGTTAAATATTTTCAACAAGATACATAATTATGAGGTTGTGAAAACATATATGGTAATGTTTAGGGGTGAGCATCGGAACATAGTATCCGCTTTCGGAACCAGAACTGCATCGGAAGCGCCGATTTTAGAACCGAAACTGCCTTAAGTGGTTCCGGTTCCGGTTCCTAAAGCTGTGGAATTGCCTTAAGCGGTTTCGGTTCCAATTTTAATTTTTTCGGAACCGCTACCCGGCGGGTACCCGTCGAAACCGGTTTATATATATATATATATATATATATATATATGTGGGAAAAGTGAATATACCCATAAGGGTATATAAGCTTAGGTACCCTAACTCACATTAATACGTCGTTTTGTTTTATGTATTCATTATAATATTCTAAAACTTCAACCCCTAACTTGATTTACTTTCAGAAGTTTCAAAATTTCACTATGATCTTACTATTACGTCACATATTTTTACCGAACACCTATTAGGCTATATATTATAGTTGAAATTGAAAATTAAATAAGAGGAAGATAAATGTGAAATTTATAAAAATTTTGGAGGTAAATCAAGTTAAAAGTTGAATTATAAGAACATTGGATAAGTACAATCCAAATATATCATAGAAAATAATGTAATATGGTGAGTTAGGGTACCCAAGCTTATATACCCATAATGGTATATTCACTTTTCTCATATATATATATATATATATATATATATATATATATATATATATATATATATATATATATATATATAAGGTTAGGTTCATTTGAGACCACCTATATTTTGTGAGACCGTGAGATGCATTTTTTTTTTTTTTTTTTTTTATTTTTTAGTTAATTCAAGTTCCAAAAATAATATTTAAAAAAAGAATTTTTGGATTTTTCCATTTATTTTGCATTTTAAAATTATTTTTTAGAATATGTACAGTGTAATATTGTATTAGAATATTTCATGTATTTTTCAAAAAAAAAAAATGGGATTTTTTTTATTTTTTATTTTTTATATTTTATTAGTTAATTCAAGTTCCAAAAATAATATTTAAAAAAAGAATTTTTGGATTCTTCCATTTATTTTGCATTTTAAAATTATTTTTAGATTTGGTCTTACGGTTTCAAAAAATTAGAATGGTTTCAAATGAACCTGAATATATATATATATATATATATATATATATATATATATATATATATATATATATATATATATATATATATATATATATATTAAATTTCAATAGGATGTATAGTTAATCCTTAAATACAGTTTACTATTGGACGTGTCATAATAATTTGTAACACCTTATGTGTTAATTTGCTTTCTCCTGTGAAATCGAAATTATATGAAATC